GATGCCACTGGCAAATTCTCCACCTCAATGTCTTCTCTGCAGTCCTCCACCAGTGGGAAAGATAATCGATAATAATAATTAATCATCATCCATAATGAGCGACTGCAAGGTTTCACCTCCTGGCTGGCTCCATTTCCCAAATTTCCATCTATGGCTGAAACCCAGGGATTGCCCTGGGGAGTTGCAGGGTGGTTTGGAGAGAAATCAGCTCCTGGAATAGCTCAGACCTTCTGGGTGTTCCATGTGGGTCCCCAAATCCCCCAGCCACAGTCCCATCCCCTCCCTCATTCCCCTTCCCCAAATCCCCCTGGGACATTTCACTGAGGATAAATAACTCCAATGGACAATTCATGAGGATAAATAACTCAGATGGACAATTCATGAGGATAAATAACTCCAAGGGCTCTGTGGCACTGCTCAATTTCCATCCCCAGCACCATTTTCCCTCTTTATCCATCCCTTATTTGTTATGGAAGCTCTGGAGCCTCCCCAGTCCCTTTCCACCTGAAGCCATTCCCTTTTCCTCACGCGGTTCCCATATTTTTTCCATATCTCCACCTGAAGCCATTCCCTTTTCCTCACGTGGTTCCCATATTTTTTCCATATTTCCACCTGAAGCCATTCCCTTTTCCTCACGTGGTTCCCATATTTTTTCCATATCTCCACCTGAAGCCATTCCCTTTTCCGTATTTTCCCTGGGTTTCCCTCCTCAGAGCTCCTCCTTGCTCATTTTTACAGCTGAGATCCGTGGAGCACTGATATCCTGATGTTGGTTTTCCTCTCAAACTCACCACCAGCAGAGTTTTCATATTTAAATCAGCAACCAGAATCCCTGAGGATTATCATTCTCCATCAGTAACTGCAAGGACAGCCAGGAATTAGCCAGGATCCAACCAGGATGGGGTCTTGGGTCATTTACAGGAGAAAAATATAAAAATTCATGAAAAAAAAATTTTAAAAGGACATTATTTCCAGAGTCATGTAAATTAAGAGGGAACAGAAATGGCAGAGTGTGATCAGCAGTACCAAACAAAGAAGAGCCAGGCCTGGGACAGGAATGTGAGGATTTGAGCCCAGAGTGGGAATCTGGAGCTCTCCAGAGCCTGCCCTGCCAGGGAGAATGGTGGCTGTGACTCAGGCAGAGCACAGGAATCCATCTGGGCTGGAGCAAAGGATCCATCTGGGCCTGGGGGAAGGGACAAACCTCGGGCAGGGCTGGTTTGGGGGGAGCTGAGGGACAGGAGCAGCAGAAATTCCAGGGAAAGCTCAAACCCTGCTGGGATGGCTCCTGTGAAATGCAGGGAAGGGATTTTCTCAATGCACCTTGTTCCAGGGGGAAATAACAGAGCTGTCCTGTCTCAGATCCCTGTTCTGGACACTCTGGGGTGGATCAGAGCCCCCCCAAAACAGCACCCAGGTGTGATCCAAGGGCTCAGCAATGCCAGGAGTCAGGGATCCATGGGACTCCTCTCATGCCCAACATGAAGCAGGGGGCTGGAATGTCCCTCCTGGAATGTCCCTTGTGTCACCTTCCTGCTCCCAGATGTCACCCTCTGTCATCCCAGCATGAGAATTTGAGATCAGGGATCTCCCAGCAAAGATGCAGCAGTATTAAAAACGTGGATTAAAGCAATCTCCTCTTCCAAGTACTCTCCTGCTCCAAAACTGAGGGAATAGAAGGAAAAATTCTCCTTGGGAGGGACAAACCCCCTGGGCTGTGCCAGGGCCTCCATGGATCCTGCTGGAATCTGGGATTTCACAGCCCCCAGTGAGGAAATCTGCCTCCCACACACTGAAAAGCCATGAGAGATCCCAAATCCATCCACTTCCACCCTGAATGAGGGAAATGAGGTGTTTCCTCCCCCCAAAAAAAAGAGGAGACAGAGGCAAGGAGACATTCCAAAGGGATATTTACTGCCCCAGCAATGCCCAGCCTGAGGCTGCTCCCCTCCAGCCACAGCAGGGCCCCTGCCCCGTGCTCTGGGGGTTTTCTTCCAAGAGGAATTTTTCTTCCAAGAGGAATTTTTCTTTTTTCTTCCAAGAGGGATTCCAGAGGCAATCAGGGCCTGGGCTCCTCCTTGCCCATGTGGTGCTCGGGGGGTGTGTACTTCCCCTGCTTGATCATCCTGTCTCGCTGCTCCAGGATGGTCCGGAGCCGCTGAGTCTGCCAGGGACACAGGGGGGGTCTCAGGGGGTCCCCACGGCAGCCCCCCAGATGTACAGCCCCCGCTAACCCCGCCCTGGGGCTCCTCACTCCGGTTTGAGGCTCTTCTCAAAGATTTTGGGGCTTTCAGGACTGATGAGATTTGGGTTTCCAGCCGCGTTTTCTGACCAGGATTTTATCCTGGGTGCGGATGGTGCTGGAGGAGCGCTGGGGACAGGGACAAAGGTCGGCTCCACACGGAGCCAAAACATGGAATGGTTTGGCTGGGAGGGAACTAAAATCCCATCCATTGGGCAGGAGCTCCAAGCTGGGCTGGAACTCTTCCAGGAGCGGGGCAGCCGCAGCTTCCCGGGGCTCCTGCAGCCCGCACAGCCCGGGGGAAGGGGCTGCTGTGGGATCAGACCCCCCCTCAAGGTGGGCAGCGCTCCCACCCTGGGCTGGAGCCCCCGAACCTCCCCCAGAGCATTGCCAGGTCCCTCTGCACCCTCCCAACACCTGGAGTCCCCCCAGCCCGCACTTGTTGCCCCCTTTATCAGAACCCCCGTGTCCCCGCTCACCCACCAGCTTGGTGCGCTTCATGCACTCCATGAAATCCTCGTACTCCAGCTGACACTCGCGCCGGGCGCGGGTCTGGCCCAGCCCGTGCCCGCACTCCACCCACTCGCGCTCGAAGGCGTGGCAGGCCGAGGCCTGGCCGTAGGGCTGCGGCATGCTCTGCCGCAGCAGGAAGGCGTCCACATCGATGCCCAGCTGCTTCTGCAGGCCCCAGAACGGCATGGCTGCGCTGCTGTCGCGACACGGCCGCTGTCGCGCCGCCCCCCCTCACGGCCCCGCCGCCGTCCTTCACGGGCCTTTCGCGGCGTCCCCGCCGTCAAGCGCGGCCGAGGCGCGGCACCGCGGCGCGCTCTACGGCTGGGCGAGGTCAGAGAGAGGAGCGGCAGGAGCGCCTCTCCCTGCGCTGCAGCGCCCTCTGGCGGATGGGAGAACTCGCTGCACGCCGCGCCCCGGCACCCTCTGGCGGCCACGGTGTGCAAAGCGCTCCCAGTGTTCCCAGTGCTCTCCCAGTGCCCTCCCAGTGCTCTCCCAGTGCCCTCCCAGTGCTCCCAGTGTCCTCCCTTTGCTCCCAGTGTCCTCCCAGTGCTCTCCCAGTGCCCTCCCAGCGCCCCCCAGTGTCCTCCCAGTGCTCCCAGTGCCCTCTTAGTGCTCCCAATGCCCTCCCAATGCCCTCCCACTGCTCCCAGTGCCCTCCCGGTGCTCCCAGTGTCCTCCCTTTGCTTCCAGTGTCCTCCCAGTGCTCCCAGTGCCCTCCCAGGGCCCTCCCAATGCTCCCAGTGCCCCCAGTGCCCCAGAGTCCTCCCTCTGTCCTCCTCCCAGTGCTCCCAGTGCCCTCCCAGTGTCCTCCCAGTGCCCCAGAGTCCTCCCTCTGTCCTCCTCCCAGTGCCCCCCCAGTTCTCCCAGTGCCCCCAGCTCTCCCAGTTCCTGCACAGGGAAGAGCCAGGGCCTTCCTCACCCAAGCCCTCAAGCCACCCTGGGCTCTCAGTGATCACCACCACCCCTAAAACCAGAACCTAAACCTGCCAAACCCCTTTGGAAGGCACGGGGACACCACAGGAGCTGGAGGAGCAGGATTTATGGGACAGGACAAAACAGACAGAATCCTGTGTTTGAATGGAATTTATGCATCATGTATGAGGTGTATGAATATGCAACAGGTTATTGTTTTTAAGGGTTAATCCTTTGTTCACTGTGTCCTTTTTCGGGCTCGTGCTGCCCAGAAAAAGGTACCTGGACTGTCTATAACTCTTTGTATTTGTTGTCTCATAATGTCCTAATTTAAATTGTCCAAATTTTTATTAATCTAATTGTATTACTATTTTTATAACCATTTTATTACTATTAAACTTTTAAAATTTTAAAAACAAGTGATTGGTGTTTTTAACGGGGAGGGTGGAATATGACAGCTGCTTTAATAAATACAGGATAGACTGAGAATTATTTCACCCCTGCAAATGCCAACCCTTTGATCCCAACACAAAAGAATTTCAAAAAAGAACTGTTCCCAAATAGCTCCAGAGTCCCCCCAGTGTTTGGGACAGATTTCTCGACCCAAAATGAGACACTAAACCCTGAAAATTTGCCAGCATTAATCCCAAATTAGAAAACTCACAAAAATATTTTGATAATTTTCAACTAACAGACTGGGATGGAGTCAGACACCCAGTGGGATTTTCCCCACCCTAACATCATTATAGGATATTTCCCCTGGTGCTGCCGTGGGATTTTTCCAACCCCAACATCATTATGGGATTTTCCCCATCCCAATACCGTTATGGGACATTTCCCCTGGTGCTGCCATGGGATTTTTTCCCACTCCAATACCATTATGGGATTTTTCCCATCCCAATACTATTATAGGACATTTCCCCTGGTGCTGCAATGGGATTTTTCCCACCCCAACACCATGACGGGATTTTCCCCACCCCAATACCATTATAGGACATTTCTCCTGGTGCTGCAATGGGATTTTTCCCCAATACCATTATGGGATTTTCCCCACCCCAACACCATTTTGGGACATTTCCCACTCCAACACCATGATGGGACATTTCTCCTGGTGCTGCTGTGGGATTTTTCCCACCCCAATACCATTATGGGATTTTTCCACCCCAATACCATTACAGGACATTTTCCCTGGTGCTGCAATGGGATTTTTCCCATCCTAATACCATTATGGGACATTTCTCACCCCAATATCATGGGACCCTCCCCAATCTTATGGGACATTTCTCCTGGTGCTGCCATGGGATTTTTCCCACCCCAAAACCATTCGGGGATATTTCCCACCTCAACACCATTATGGGACATTTCCCACCCCAATACCATTATGGGATTTTTCCCATCCTGATGTTATTATAGGACATTTCCCCTGGTGCTGCAATGGCATCTTTCCCCACCCCAATACCATTATGATTATGGGACATTTCCCCTGGTGCTGCAATGGGATTTTTCCCCAATACCATGATGGGATTTTCCCCACCCCAACACCCTGATGGGACATTTCCCCTGGTGCTGCAATGGGATTTTTCCCCAATACCATTATGGTATATTTCCCACCCCAACACCATGATTAGACATTTCTCCTGGTGCTGCAATGGGATTTTTCCCCAATACCATTATGGGATTTTCCCCACCCCAACACCATTTTGGGACATTTCTCCTGCCAGCACCACCACAGGCCCTTTCCCAGCGTGGCTCCTTGCCCGGAGCTGCTCAGATGATGCCAGCTGGAGCGAAGACAGGGGGCACACAAAGGGTCTCTGCCATCTCCCAGCCACAGGACAGGGGCGTGCAGAGGCTCTCACGCTCTTCTTCTGTCTGGGGTGGCTTTCCCTGCAACAGCTGGATGGCTTTCCTGCAAAGGGAGACACCCAAGGGTGGCTGGCTCTCTTTTCTCCAGTGAAAAGCTGCCTCAAGTATGATAAAATTTTAAAAAAATTAGGATTTTTTCCTCTGAGGCCTGAATTTCCAGGTTCTGGGACTCAGATTTCCCAGGTGGAAGAGAAGGCTCAAGTTTGATAATATTAAAAAATAGGATTTTTTCCTCTGAGGCCATGATTTCACCCTGAATTTCCAGGTTTTGGCACTGAGATTTCCCTCTCTCCCTTGGGCCCAGGTGGAAGAGAAGGCTCAAGTTTAAAATAGTAATAGTAACAGTAACAGTAACAGTAACAGTAACAATAATAATAATAATAATAATAATAATAATAATAATTATTATTATTATTATTATTATTATTATCATTATTATTATTATTATAGATATATATTATATCGTATAATAATGTATGTAAGATATTATTTAATATAGAATTAATTTAATTTAAAATTTAATATAATGATTTAATAATAACAATAACAACAACAATAATAACATATTATGATACATTATGACATATATTTTATATTATTATATAGTATAATAATATATATATATATGTAATTTAATATAAAATAAATTTAATTTAAAATTTAATATAATAATAATAATAATAATAATAATAATAATAATAATAATTTAATAATAATATTTTAAAAATAATATTTATTCCTAACTAAAAAACAGGATTTTTTCCTCTGAGGCCATGATTTCACCCTGAACTTCCAGTTTTGGCACTCAGATTTCCCCTCTCCCTTGTGCCCAGCAGGAACTGAATCCCTCCCCTGGCACAGAACCCCTCCCTGCCCATCCCTTACCAGGCCATGCGGGACATGGCGTAGGTGACCCGAGCCTGGGCGCCGCCAGCTGTGCCCAGGGGTGACGTTGGCATGCTGTAGGCTCCCATGTCCCCGAAGATCAGCCAGTCCCCCACGTGCAGCTGGGGCAGCCGCAGCCCCTCGGCGATGCTGGCACCCTCACTGTGCCCCCGCGGGCCCCGCAGGCTGCAGCTGTGCCAGGGCTGCTCTGGGCACGGCCTCTGCAGGGGAAACGGGGGTGAGGGTGTGCCAGGGGCACCCTGAGCCCCTCTCCGTGTCCCCATGGCACACTGAGCCCCTCCCCGTGTCCCAGTGCCACACTGAGCCCCTCACCGTGACCCCAAGGAGGTGAGGCCCTCACCATGTCCCCATGGCACACTGAACCCCAAATTCAGCCCCGCAGTGCCAGGGGGATGGCTGAGGGACACCCTGAGCTGTCCCCAAGGGTCTCTGTGGGATGAGCATGTCCCAGTGGCACACTGAGCCCCTCACCATGTCCCAGTGCCACACTGAACCCCAAATTCAAACCCATGGAGTGAGTGCAGCTTCCCCTGTGGCAGAGAGGTGGCTGAGGGACATCCTGAGCTGTCCCCAAGGCTGGTGAGCCCCTCACCGTGTCCCAGTGCCACACTGAGCCCTTCAGCATGTCCCCATGGCACACTGAGCCCCAAATTCAGCCCCACAGCCTGGGTGCAGCTTCCCCTGTGGCAGAGGGATGGCTGACCTCACTTAAGGGACATCCTGAGCTGTCCCCATGGCACACTGAGCCCCTCACCCTGTGCAGCCGGGGCCTGGGGCAGGGGCTGTCGAACAGGAGGCAGCTGAAGGCACCGTAGATGCCGTCACTGAGGTGATAGACCAGGCTCTTCTTGCTGCCACACTCTTCCTCTGGAAAGGAAGGGGGAGAGAGTTCAGGTAGCCCAAGGACACAGGGGACACCTCAGGAAGGGAGAAGAGAGGTCAGGGACACAGGGGAGACATTGGGGAGTGGGGAGAGGGCTCAGGGGGGCTCAGGGATGCAGGGGACATAGCAGAAAGTGGGAAGAGGGCTCAGGGACACAGGGGAAACATTGGGGAGTGAGGAGAGGGCTCAGAGGGGCTCAGGGATGCAGGGGACACCTCAGGGAACAGGGAAAGGGTTCAAGGGGTCTCAGGGTCAGAGGGGACACATTGGGGAACAGGGAGAGGGCTCAGAGGGGCTCAGGGACACAGGGGACACATCAGGAAGAGGGGAGGGTTCAGGGAGGCTCAGGGACACAGGGGACACCTCAGGAAATAGGGAAAGGGTTTGGGGGGTCTCAGGGACACAGGGGACACATCAGGGAGCAGGGAGAGGGCTCAGGGGGACTCAGGGACATAGGGGACATCCCTGCTGCCACACCTACCATCAGAGCCAGGCTGCTCCACGGGGATCTCCTCCAGGGCAGTGATGCTGACAGCCAAGGTGAAGGCAGAGGTGACATAGTAACGCCCAGGCCTGGCAATAATTTCCACCCCGCTGCCCTCAGGGAAGTACAAATCCAAGGCAGAGTTTATCCCAGCAGCGATCTGTGAGGGAAGGAAAAGAACCTTCCCTTTGGTTAGCTGGGAATTCTGCACGGATGCAAACCCAGGGAGAGCTCCCAGCTCATTCCCTGCCTGCTTAGGGCGGGTGTGGGAGGTTTGTACCTCTTCCAGCGGGGCTCTGGTGTCCTCAGTGGCAGGGAAGCCTCCCCCGATGTCCAGGAGGTGCATGTGGTGTCCCAGCTCTGTCCCCATGTCAAACACCAGCTGTGCTGTGGCCACAGCCTGCGCCCAGGCCTGGGCCTCCAGCCCACGGCTCCCCAGGTGGAAGCTGAGGGGACAGACCCCATCTCAGCAGGGCCTGGTCACCCCCAGAGCAGAGGGGACACGGCCCTGGGGTTGGCACTCACAGAGTTTCCCACGCACTGTGCCAAGCCAGAGCCACGGAGCCCCAGGGAGACTTTCCTGGGGTCAAACCTGCCCCAACAAATCAAATCCCTGCCTTAACCTCACTCCCAATGACCCAAGCCAGACCCACAGAGCCTTTTCTGAGGTCACACCTGCCCCAAACTGGCCCCAAAAAGGTCAAATCCCAACCCTCACCTCAGTCCCAAGAGCAGCTGGAGCACTGACCCAAGCCAGACCCACAGAGCCTTTCCTGGGGTCAAACCTGCCCCAAATTACTCCCAACAAGATCAAATCCCCTCCTTCACCTCAATCCCAATGACCCAAACCAGACCCACAGAGCCCCACGGAGCCTTTCCTGGGGTCAAACCTGCCCAAAATTGGTCCCAACCAAATCAAATCCCTGCCTTAACCTTACTCTCAAGCAGAGCAGCTGGAGCACTGACCCCAACCAGACCCACAGAGCCTTTCCTGGAGTCAAACCTGCCCCAAATTTGTCCCATTAAAGTCAAATCCCTGCCTTCACAGCCCTCCCAATGACCCAAGCCAGACCCACAGAGCCCCACGGAGCCTTTCCCGGGGTCAAACCTGCCCCAAATTGGCCCCACCAAGATCAAATCCCCTCCTTCACCTCGCTCCCAAGCAGAGCAGCTGCAGCACTGCTGCTCCAGCAGGGCAGAGCTCCCCAGACCCCCACCCAGAGGGGCTGAGCACCCCCAGGGAAGGAGCCCAGGGCTGTACCTGATGCCAACAACCTCCACAGCCTGGTCCTTGGCTGCCTGCAGCAGGTGCCCACAGGATTCCAGCGTGCTCCCAAAGCTCAGGCTGGGGTGGGCAGCAGGGATGGAGTCGGCAGTGATCCCCAGCAGCATCCTGCACAGCAAAGCCACCAAGGCTGGGTTAAAGGGCCTTGGAATAACAGGATCATAGAGGAAAAGCCTTTGAGGGCTGGAAAAGCCCTCAATGATTACTGAGACCAAATACTAACCCAAACTATTAAGCCCAGCACTAAACCATGTCCCTGAGAACCACATCTACAAGCTTTTTTAATGTTTCCCCTGGTGCTGCAATGGCATTTTTCCCATCCCTATACCATGATGGGACATTTCCCACCCCAATACCATAATGGAATATTTCATACCCCAATACCATGATGGGATATTTCCCCTGCTGCTGTGGGATTTTTCCCACTTCAATATGATTATGGGACATTTCCCCTGGTGCTGCTATGGGATTTATCCCACCCCAATACCATTATGGGATTTTTCCCACCCCAATACCATTATGGGACATTTCCCACCACAATACCGTTATGGGATATTTCCCCTGCTGCTGCCATGGGATTTTTCCCACCCTAATGTCCCCAATACCATTATAGGACATTTCCCACCCCAATACAATTATGGGACATTTCCCACCCCAATATCATTGTGGGATTTATCCCATCCCAACACCATTATGGGATTTTTCCCACCTCAATATGATTATGGGACATTTCCCCTGGTGCTGCTGTGGGATTTATCCCACCACAATACCATGATAGGACATTTCCCACCTCAATACAATTATTGGGATATTTCCCCTGGTGCTGCCATGGTGACTCCACCCCTTCCCTGGGCAGCCTGGTCACACATTCAGTGATCCAACCTTTCCCCATATCCAATCCAAACTTCCCCTGGCACAGCTTGAGGCCGTTCCTCTTTTTTATCTCTTGGGAGAAGCGACTGACACCCACCTCGTCCAACCTCCTGCTGCCCCCCAGAGCCCCCTGCCCATTCCCCACCCCAGTGGCACTGCCAGGCACCCACCTGGCACGGGGGTGGCTCCTGGCCACCTTGCCCAGCTCCACCTCGTTGTCAAAGGCCATCAGCCTGACCCCGTGGCTGGCTGCATACCTGAGGTGGGCCACCTGCTTGCAGGGGCTGCTGTAGAAGATCCTGTCTGGCGGCACCCCAATGCCTTGGACGCGGCTGATCTCTGCCTGCAGGGGCAAGGGGACACGTGCAGCAGGTCCCCAGGAGCTGGGTGGGGACCAGCCAGCAGTGCTGAGCAGTGTCACAGCCTGGGCTTTTGCAGGTAAAAGCTACCAGAGCTCCAAGGGATCACAGTGGACTTTGTGCTGGCATGGAGAGGTTTGAAAACACCAGAGAATGGGAGAGGAGACAAGTGGGGTTAGCAGGGCTGGGGCTGTGACAACGCTTACCCTTTCTCATCCTATTTAATTACATAAAAGTGATTTAATTTTGCATCATCCCTGGAAGTCTGGCTGTTAAAAATGACAAGCAGGAGGGAGCAAAAAGCTTTAGGTTCAGCCCTAAGGACGTCAAGAGTTGGACAGATGTGGCAGTGACACCCCAGGGATGTGCTGTGCCACCAGCCAGGACAGCAGCTCCAGGGACAGGAACGGGGACAAGAAATTCCTCTTGTCCTATTTAATTACATAAAAGTAAGTGAATTAATTTTGCCTCTTCCTTGGCTGTTAAAAATGACAAGCAGGAGGGAGCAAAAAGCTTTAGGCTCAGCCCTGAGGACACCAAAAGCTGGACAGCTGTGACACCCCAGGGATGTGCTCCAGGGACAGGAATGGGGACAATGCAGATGGGACAGGGATTTCTGGGCTATGACAGCACAGGACATTCCTGCCCCTGAAATTGTCACCTAGAGCACAAATTTGGGAAAGGAGGATGAGCTCTGCCACTCCCCCACAAACATTTCCCCTGGAGCTGCCCTCCCACAGCCCTACCTTGTTGGCACAGGCAAATCCTGCCCCCAGCTCTGCCAGCAGCCTGAGCACCCCCTCACTGCCGTTGCATTTCACTGGGAAATGGGGCTTCACCCTGGGCAGGGCCTTCAGGAAACACAGGTGCTTCTTCACGATGTCCCCCAGGTCTGCCACGAAGAGGGCCTGGTGCTGCTGCTGGCCCTAGGGGACAGCCAGAGTGAGCAGCAGCTCCAGGAGCGCCCTTTGCAAAGGCAGCAGAGCGTCAGCCCTCACCTCCTGGCACAGCTCCCCCAGCAGGTTCTCCAGGAGGTCTCTGGTGGTGAAGCCCTCCTCCACCATCAGGAAATTGGATTCGTTCAGGTACCCGTTCATGGTGGGGTGTTCTGGGGGTGGGGATGATCCTTTAAACGCTCCTGGAGTTGGGGATGGGTTCTAAGGATGAGACACACCGTGAAAAGGAAAGGAATATGTGATGGTGTTCACTGGGGTCTGGGGATGAGGGAAGAGATGAGGATCTGACTCCATGTTTCACAAGGCTTGATTTATTATTTTATCATATATATTACATTAAAACTATACTAAAAGAATAGAAGAAAGGATTTCATCAGAAGGCTGGCTAAGAATAGAATAAGAAAGAATGATAACAAAGGCTTGTGGCTCGGACTCTCTGTCCGAGCCAGCTGACTGTGACTGGCCATTAATCAGAAACAACCCCATGAGACCAATCCCAGATGCACCTGTTGCATTCCACAGCAGCAGATAATTGTTTACATTTTGTTCCTGAAGCCTCTCAGCTTCTCAGGAGGAAAAATCCTAAGGAAAGGGATTTTTCATAAAAGATGTCTGTGACAGGAATATTTAGAGGAAGGGTCCAGGAGCTCCATCAGCATGGACCAGTGCTCCAGGGTAGAGCTCTGAGCTGCTCTGCTCCAAACCAGCAGCTCAGCAGAGCCCTGCTGTGGGTTACAGCATCTTCCCTGGGGGAGGAGACACATTTCTCTGCAGTTCAGAGCTGTTTTGGCACACAGCAGCATCAGCAGGCACCAGCACAGTCATCAACAAAGCCGAGTGCACCACAAGGAGCAGAGATGCCTCTCTGGGCCAGGACAGAGCCCTGAACATCCCAGATGGATCCCAAACAGCTGAGGGCTCCTGGACCCACCTTTCCAGGGGAAAGCCCCAGCACAGGGCACTCACTGGCACCACCCAGCCCCAGCACAGCCTGGATCCCTGCTGTGGATGTGGTTCCATGGCTGTCCCATGTCACAGGGTGTGGGACAAGGGGACAATTAAACAGCACAGAGTTTTCTGGCTCATCCTAGCAGAGCTTTAGCTTTGAGCTCACACCCTGAGCTTTAACAATCTCCTGCCCTGGACCCAGCCTGGCCCACAACCCAGGGAGCTGGTGAGCTGGCAGGGAACATTTCCACCCCAATAATCCAGGTCTAGCTCCAGGGCTCTTCCAGGAGCATGGTCTCTCTGATTGGAAGTGAGCAGGAGGCAGAAGTTCCATTTCTCAGAGCCGCACAGAAACCTCCTGACAGCATTCCAGGGGCGCTGGGAGAGAGACCACACTGACCCCAGAGCAGCAGGATGTTGTAATGCATTGAGCAAACACCACCAGCAATTCCAGAGACAGGATTGGGGTGAAAAAAACACGTTTTGAGCTCTTAGAATGAAAGGAGGACTCTAAGAAGGAAAGGAGAGCAACTCCTTCAGCTTTAGCCTTCACTCCCCATCACCAAACAGCACCAGTCTGTCGCAGACATTTTTTCACAGAAATCCTTTCTTTGGGATTTGTGCATCTTCTGGGAAGCAAAGGCCCCAGAAGAAGAATGTAAACAATTGTTATCAGCTGCTGTGAAATGCAATAGGATGCACCTGTGATTGGTTCATGTTCCATGTTTATAATTAAGGGCCAATCACAGGAGCAAGCTGGGGACAGAGTCCCTGGACACAGAACTTTGTTATAAATTCTATTCTATTCTATTCTTGGCTTAGCAAGCCTCTGCAACTTCTCTTCTTATTCTTTTTAGTATAGTCATAATGTATTATATATTATATATCAATAAATCCAGCCTTCTGATCATCAAACAAGATTCTCATCCTTCTCTCACCATGGAGACCTTAACAGGCAACTGTAATACCAGCCCACCCTGGTTGGCACAGAAAGGATGAAATGGGTCATGTCCCCTGGGACATCCCCTCCTTAGCACGGTCCTGATGTCCCTCCCAGGTGTCCTGGTGTGCTGTCAGGGGGGCTCCCCAAGGAACACAGAGCTCCTGAGCTGTAGCTGTGCCTTGGGGTCTGGAGTTTCTGGGGAGAAGCAGTGCAGGGGCTTAGAGAGGGAGAGGGAAAGGAGAGCAACTCCTCCAGCTTTACCCTTCAGGCCCCATCACCAAACAGCACCAGCGCACCCCGGCTGGGCACAGTAAGGATGAAATGGGTCACTCCTGTCAGGACTCATGCCCCAGCCTTACCAGGGTCAGGTTGTCCTTCCCAGGTGTCCGGGTGTGCTGTCAGGGGGGTTCCCCAATAAACACCGAGCTCCTGCAGCAGCCTGAGCTGTAGCTGTGCCTTTGGGTCTGGGGTTCCTGGGGAGAAGCAGTGCAGGGGCTTAGAGAGGGAGAGGGGCACTGACAGAACGATGCCCTTTATCCCCATCCCTAAATTAGGCACTCCACAGCTCCCTTCTCACTGTGCCAGGCAAAGCAGCCCCCCCACAGCCCCCCCCCAAAGCCCCCTTACCTCGGAAAGCATTTAAACAGCTTCTGCCATGGGTATCCCAGGAGAATGAACCAGCCCCAGGGCCGGCTGTGTGTCCTGCCCCAGCTCCCTGCCTGTCCCGAGCCCCTGCAGAGGATGGGGGGGTTCTGCACCCTTTCCCTCCCTGCTCTGCCGCCCAACCGTAGCCATGACAACCAAATCCGGCCACGCCATTGGCTGAGCCGCCTCCGAGCATCCTTCATCCCTTTTGGAGGAGGCTCCCCCTCCTCTCCCCCTGCAGCCAGCCCGGACTCTCACCGCGTCCCCGCAGCTCATCCCCAGCCCGGCAGCCCTGCCCTGCCTCCCGCGGGGACTCTGAGGGGGGAAGAGAGCCCGAAATACCTCGGGAATGGCGCTGCCAGGGAAACCTTCCTGCAGATGAAAGGCTGAGCGGTGTTTGGCTGGGCATCCGCAGAGGGGGAGGGAGTTGGGAGGATGTCAGGGGCTGATCCTGGGTGCCCCAGGGGCAGATCCAGCTCTGCCATCAGTGCAGATGCTCTGTGTGATCCGTGAGACCTGGACCTTGGACACGGTGCCACTGCTCCATCCCGCAATTGTTTTTAACTCTCCTTAGATCTCTCTCTGGTGCTGCTGAGGAGCCAATGTTCTGTCTGTGGAGAGGTGGCTGTCCCCACTGAGGGGGGAATGAAAAGACCAAATTATCCTGGGTTTCTGTATTCAACACTGTGGTCTTGGCTTTGCCACAGACTCTCCTGGCAACAAGGGCCAAGGAAGGTTTTGTCTGCCGTGAGATCCTGGCTGGTTTTGCCTGTGCTCTGGCCCATCCCCAGTGCTGGACTGTGCTCTGTGGGGTGTGGGGACCATGCAGAGAGGCTGGGAGAGCAGAGAGCACAGAGCCCTGCAGTGCCAGCCCCTCCTGGATGTGGTGGGCAGTGTTGTGATGCACAGCCCACGCAGAGCAGGGCACTGAGCCCATCCCACACAACACAGCTCAGAATCACAGGATCAATTAGGCTGGAAAAGATCTCTGAGATCACAAAGTCCAATTCTGACCAGACAGCACTGTGTTAACTGGCCCACAGCCCCAAGTCTTTCCTTAAATACTTCCAAAGGTGGTGACTCCATCATTTCCCAGGGAAACTTGTTCCAATGTCTAATCTTCCTGTAAAGAAATTCTTCCTAATGTCCAACCTTGTGCCCTTGTGTAGCTCAAGACTGTGTCCTCTTGCCCTGTCACCAGCTGCCTGGAAGGCAAACCCTACTGCTACCCGGCTCCAAACTCCTTTCAGAGAGATAAGGTCAGCCCTGAACCTCCTTTTCTCCTGACTCAGCTCCCTCAACCACTCCTCATCAGATTTGTCCTCCAGCCCCGTTGCCGTTCTCTGGACACATTCCAGCAGCCCAATGCCCTCCTTGAGCTGAGTGACCCAGAGCTGGACACAGCGCCCAGGACTTGGGGACAGCTGGGGGCGAACGCGGGGACACCGAGCGATCCACGTGGCGCGCAAAGCCCCGCCCACCTCCGCGTAGCCACGCCTATCTCATACGTAACCCCGCCCACCTCCCTATAACCCCGCCTACCTCATTCATAACCCCGCCCACTCAGTGCAAACCGCGCTGTTATTTGCATATTACATGTCTCATTTGCATGTCCCCGCCCAGCGGCGCTGTCCCCGCCCACGAGGCGCGGGGCGGGCGCGCAGTCGGCGGCGGCCATGGCTCCCAGCGCTCAGGCGGGCCCGGGCCGCGGGCAGGCCCCGGCCGCGGGGATCCGCCACGGCATCCGCGCCGTGCTGCTGGGCCCGCCCGGCGCCGGCAAGGGCACGCAGGTGAGGGCGATGCGGGCGGGAGTGGCCGGCGGGACCGTTCCCGCTGCCGGCACTCAGCGTGTGACCCCCGCCTGGAGGGAGGGACGCGGGTGTCCGGCCTTGGGCTGCCCGCTGAGGGATCGCGGTGCGCCGTGTGTCCGTGTGGGCCCGGCTCTCCCTTCTGGAAGGGCTCGGTTCTGTCCCGCCTCCAGGGCCTCGCTCGCCGCGGCTCTTTGTCCCCGATCCCTTTGTCCCGGATCGGACCGGGTGTCGCTGAGCTCCGGGGCTCCGTGCCGAGCCTGGCCACGTGCGGGCCGGTCAACGACTGTCCCGACGGGGGAACGAGGCCCCGCCGGGCTGGGGATCCTCAGCCTCTGAGGTTCTGTCTCACCTCTGTCCTCTCCCGCAGGCTCCGAAGCTGGCCGAGACCTACTGTGTGTGTCACCTGGCTACCGGCGACATGTTGCGGGCCATGGTGGCCTCGGGCTCCGAGCTGGGCAAGCGGCTCAAGGAGACGATGGATTCGGGGAAGCTGGTGGGTCCTGGGGAATGGGCTGGGAGGGGACACAGGCTGGCGGCATCTGGAATGAGGGCAGGCAAAATCCATCTCCTAATTAGGATTCTTTCATTAGTGTAGGAATGCAGATTGCAGGGTGAAGGCAGATTGCAGGGTGAGGGTAAGGATGGGGTGGGGGCTTTCATTCTATCACCCTGCAGGAGAAGCATCCTATACAAACATCCTTCCTATTCAAAATTACTGTTTGCTTACCAGCAGCTTGTGGCCCTGGGTTGTTTTTATTTTTTAGGGGGTGCAGTCTGGCTGGTAATTTTCTGGCTCCTGAACACTGAGGTCACAGTGTATCCTTGGAGCTGCAGGATGTTACAGCCAGGCTTTGAGGCTCCTGTGTCTCTTCACTTGATACCTGAGCTCCAGGTATCACTTTAAAGGGTTCATCTGCATCCCAGCTCTTGCATAAGCTCGATTCACCTGTAACTACAAGGTGAAAATGGACCTAAAGGTGTTGCTGTGGTGGGATGGGCTTTATGCTGTATGAGAGAGACACTTTGGATTCTCAAGGGACACGAGTTAGAATCTCTGACATTCATTTTCTGAGGGTCTCATTATCTCATCCTAATGACTGAAATATCTCAGGGAAACTCAAGGAGCCACAAATTGCAGTGACTTGCCCCAGTGTGGGGCAGATCTAAAGCATCCCTGTGGCTGCCACGGCCTCCTAACACCCCAGGGAGAATCTGCAGGCCCCAGATGGGGAGAGCGGCCTTATCTGACTTCTGCTCAGAGCTCATTGCAACACCGAGCCTGCAATACCCAGCTGGTTATGAAAGATAGGGCCGTTATCTGGCCAGGCTGGTGGTATCTGCCACGTGTGTTTGTGTGTGGCAGGCAGCTCCAGGCTGCTCCAGGGGCACATCCAGCAGCTCTGATAACTCAGCCGCGAGCACCCCAGCATTTCAGGATGGGCTTTATGCTCAGGATCTTATTTTCTCCAAAGGATGTAATCAGGAAGGCACAGGAGTGACTTGTTGCTTACTTCTCCTGCTTGCAGGGTTGTTGTTTGTGTGTTGTGACAGCCAGGTCCCCAGTCCTGCTGGGTCCCAGCTGTGTGTGCTGGAGAAAACAGAACTGCTCCCAAATAAACAGCTACTGTTGGGGCTGCAGCATCTGTGAGTGCTGCTGCGTGGAAAAGGCACTAATCCCAGTGGTATGCTGAGATTGTCAGATGGGGGAAAAAACTGTGCAGTGAAGCCAGAGCTTGTCAGCAACTCTTGGGCTTTTACCTTGGGATGAGGTTTATGGGAGTCAATGAGCAACTCTGCCCTTCCTGCCCGGGCCTGCCTCCCGAGGTGGATGTGTAGGTGAAGGTACAAAGTAACAGGAAATCAAGGTTGTGTTGATACTTTGTATTGTGAATTGGCTAAAAAAAAAATAATAATCTAGGGAGTTTGAGCTGACAGCGTTCCTTGCAATACAGTAACCTTTGTAACAGTGTGGTTACAGCGCTGATCCAAGTCCCTGCGTAGGCTGGAGTGTCCCTGGAGTGAAATGTGGCATTGCCCATGTCCTGGTGTTGCAGGGAGTGCTGCCCTGATGTGGGCAGGCCTGAACAGGCAGCCTGAGCATTGACATGAACTGTGGAATCACAGAATATCCTGACACACAAGAATTGGAAGGGACACACAAGAATTATTGAGCCCAACCCTTGGCCCTGCACAGGACAACTCCAAAAATCCCACCCTGTCCACATGGGCACAGCTGTGTGTAAAGTCAGGGTGTCCCTCCTGACAACATACCTGTCTCATGTCTGCAGGTGAGCGATGAGATGGTGGTGGAGCTGATTGAGAACAACCTGGACTCCCCTCCCTGCAAGAACGGCTTCCTCCTGGACGGCTTCCCACGCACAGTGAAACAGGCAGAGATGGTACGGGAGCCCCTGCTCAGAGGCTGCTCCAGCTCCCCCTTCCCCCAAACCCAGGGGTCCCTGCTCCCTCAGCCCCTCTGAGGTGGGTGTTTGCTGTTGCAGCTGGATGAGCTCCTGGAGAAGAGGAAAGAGAAGCTCGACTCTGTCATTGAGTTCAGCATCCCCGACTCGCTGCTGATCCGGAGGATCACGGGACGGTAAATCCTCCTGTCCCAGTGCTCAGGGCTTGGGATTTCCTGGTCTGTGGAAGAGCATCCTCATTTCAGATCCCAGGTTGTCCCCAAGTTGTCCTTTCCTTCCAGCTTAAGGCTGGTTATGCCTCCCTGGTCTCTATTTCTGCCCTATGCCTGGGCCAGCCTTCAGCAGAACCCCTTCCTTGCCCATAAATCAGGAATTTCTACAGAAAATCTCAGCTCGCTCCAAGTTCCTCCTCTCCAAATCTATTATTCCTCCCTTATACAGGGCACTGAGTACATTTGGGTACCAGTAAACTTCCTCCAGGGTCAGGAGTGTGTTCTCTTGCCCTGTTTTCCAGACCCCTTTCCCAACAGAGCAGGATGTAAACCTCCCCTTCTCCGTCTCCCAGCGCAGCTGCTTTTCCAAACTGAAGAGGCCCTCGGTACAGAAATAACTGGAGAGAATTTTCTTACAAGTGAAAGGCTAATGTTGTTGCTGTGGCAGATGTTTCTGTGCTGATGAGTGGCAGGTTCAGGAGATCTTGTCCTGACCAGCTGCTTTGCTGACACTTCTTTTCTGTCTCAGGCTGATTCACCCAGCGAGCGGCCGCTCGTATCACGAGGAGTTCAGACCCCCGAAAGAGCACATGAAGGACGATGTATGTGAGCTCCCAAGGCTGCAGCTTACCTTGCTTTGGGTGTAGCTGATGCTTTGCAGTCTCTCCCTGGAAAAACT